CCCCCCCCCCCCCCCCCCCCCCCCCCGTCGCCAAAAAAAGTTCGGTCAGTGTACCATTTTAGGGGTCAAAAATTTTTTCCGGACATACCATAATTGTCCGACACCTATAAAAATTTCGCAAACTTCACCAAATTTTCCGCAAAATTTACAGAATTTGTCCCACTTTTTTTTTAATTAACCGAAATTGCCCGACTGTTCACCGAATATTGCCCGACTGCCCAAAAAACTGGGGGGGCTACCGCCCCCCCCCGCCCGGTACGCCCATGAATATTTGAATGCAGCTATACTTTGACATGCCTGAAGTATATTGTCCGGCTAAAACTTATTTTTAAAAATAGCGCCAGTGAAGTTTTCAAAATTAAGCCCACAAAATTTTGCCATCTGTTCTTAATTTCACCAAGGGCTACCCTGGGTGCCAGAGGTTCTTCCACGCTCGTAGGGGGGATAATGAGGGATACACGAGGATTCAAGCTCCCAGCTTGAATCCTCGTGTATCCCTTATTATCCCCCCTACGAGCGTGGAAGAACCTCTGGCACCCAGGGTAACCAAGGGCCGGTTGTGTGAAAAAGTAGTTAATGCAAAAGTTAATTAATCACGATCGCGTATTTCAGAATTATATAATTATTATAATAATAATAACCACTATTTAACTACAGAAATTAGATAGATAGTTAGGTCAAAAAAATAAAATGTAGTTAGGTCTTTTATACAACCTCCTTAAATATACTACTATAGCTAGTTCATTTACGACGTTTCTCGTGATCTCAACCACTCCACTAGATGTTAAAGGATGAGAAAATAATGCAGCTATTGCATGCACGCGCTAATTCGTGCTCACATAAATTTAATGTTTAAACTTATGTGAATTAAGGATGACTTAATTACGAGTTTTTATCAATTTTGGTAAATTAAAGGTTTCCTAAACCCACCGTCTTTACTAGATGCGTCGGAACAAAAGTCCAGCCCTTTGCCAAATGACTGCAAATTCAAAAATATCATGAACCAAAAACTTAGAACGATAGGATCAAAACGTAGAATCCAGTGTTTATACAAGGCTCGCAAAAAATTCGTTTGCCATTTTCTTTTGAACAGGTGTTATGTATAATAATGGCCCTTGGTTTTCGGTTAAACTTGCTGTTCGTTTTAGTATATATTAATTCTGATCAATACCAGACTATAAACAAACAGTATTGACTTGTAAACAGCATATACACAAAGACTTATTTGTGCATTATAGTACGCTGACTGAAATAGATTAAATTTCCAACACTCGAGAATTTCCAGCTGCAGTTATAACACTGTTTATAGAATGTCATAAATGAAGTGGTTGCATTACGGGGAAATTAAAGCGTTTAATTCCTTTTACTCACTCCTCTTAAATAGTACTTAGTTTTATACCGCCATCATGAACAATATAACGACTCACATACAGATTTACTGCAAAACAGTTTACGAAAATTAAGCCAAAATGTAATTTAAATTTTCGATTCAAATTATATATAAAATTCTTCTCTGATGAAACCGTGATTAACCATCGCAATAAAATTTGCACTTTATGAATTGCGTGTCATTGACGTTATTCAAATATCACCCTGCACACAATTTCATCAATTCAATCCACTAATATATGTACTAATTAAAATAGCAGCCAAAATTCAGGAGACAAAAACAGTCAAGTTTGCATCTGGACTAACTGGTTTTATCGTATAGAAAATTAACATGTAATTTTGTGTAGTTGTTTGGTGGTCCTACGCAAACAGATTATGTTTCAATTTCAATTTCAACTGAGCTA